AACGCCAGCAACGCCCTCGAGGCGTTGCAGAAGATTCGTACTTAGGTTTGTAAGCATCTTTTCGTTTGACGCCGTCTCATTTCTAATCGCTTCCTATTGCTGACATTCTCTTCGTACGCTGATTGGTCCTCTCTGAAAAGACCAATCAGAAGGTCAGAATTGAGTAAATATCTGATATAAAATAAGTTTGTGGACCACACTTTCACTGATAATGGCCAGCATTTGGAGATTTGTTTTCATACTGGAATCAAGTGAGTCAGCGCGAAGACGAACATGTCGACCCCCAAGGCGCGCAAGTCAATCAAGGTGGGGGGCAATGTGGGCGTGCTCACTGGCCGCCGCAACCGCCAGGAGACTATGCTGTCCATCCGCAAGGCCAAGAAGGAGGACGCCTACGCCACGCGCCGCAACCTTAAGGCCAACCACCCGCCGGCCGCCGCACAGACCGCGAGTCGCAAGGAGCTGCTGCTCAACCTGGCCTCGCGCTCCCAGGCGCTGCTACTCGGTGCGGCCAGCAATATATAATATTTATTTTGCCGCTATGTAATTAACCACGAATGACCTTGCTGTAGGCATCCAGCGGCCGGACGCTTTGACCAGACAAAAGTCCATGCGCGCCTTCGTGTACTTGCTGTCCAGTGGCGTACCCCCGCTATTCGACGAGAACGACTCGCAGCACGAAGGCCTGTGGAGAACTATCTTGGCCGCTCTACCCTCCTTTGTGGCCATCCTGAACGAGGACCTTCCAGACGCCAATGCTGTCCAGTTACACTCGGATGCCGCGTTCGCGCTGCGCTTCATCTCGTCCATGGACAAGGCCGACGCCGTGATCGCATCCGGCGCCGTCCCCAAGCTCGTGCAGCTCTTCCAGTCCGGCATCTCGGAGCTGCAGATCCAGGCCGCCTGGTGTCTCGGTAATATCGCGTCTGCCTCGGCCGAGTGTTGCGAGGAGATCGTCAATGTCTGTCCCCCCAGCATGGTGTTGCCCCACATCCGCATGGCCACGCCGTCCCTGCGACGTGCGGCCGTGTGGCTGCTGCGTAGTCTTGTGGAATTCCCAGAAGTTATGGAGAAGAGCGGCGTCATGGCACCAGACACGAAGCGAGAGATGATGGAGGTGCTGGCCAGTATCATCCTCCAGCTCTCAAACGAAAAGGTGAGCAACTTCGTATCGGCCAACGGCCAAGCAGGCGAGGCGATCAAGTTCAAGAAGGCAGCGGCCATCGCTCCGTGGCGGATCTTTGAGGTGCGTTTACTTGTTGTTGGGTCGTAAGGTATCAACATGAGTTGGCGCTAACCAAGCCTCTTCTGACGCAGATCAACACGGGCAAGCCGGCGCCGAACGATATCGCCGTCGTGCGCTTCGTACGCGAAGTGGATGAGACGACCGTGGAGGTCATGGATGTAGACGTGAACTTCGAGACTGGCGAGAACATGGTGTTCAAGGCAAAGAAAGCAGACATGCGTCCGCTGCAGGTTATGGACGATGCTATTGGAGAGGATGATGAACTGGAAGATGAAGAGAACGATCTATTGGATGAACAAGTGCTTACGCTCTGCGATAGCTGCTGGGCACTAGTGGAAATGACGCTGCACAACAGCGACGTTGTCGGTGGCATTGTCAGTGCCGGTCTGTGCCCGCGACTTGTGGAGCTGCTGTACATTTCCCAGAGCAGTATTATCCTCGCGCCGGTTCTAAGACTATTGGGCAACATTGTGTCTGCCGAGATCTCGTACTCCCAAGCCGTGATCGATGCGAAGCTCCTAGAAGTGATCCCCAGTGTCATGACCACAACCAGTCGTGCAGTGCGCGAGGAAGCGTGCTGGATGCTGTCCAATATTGCTGGCGGCCAGGAGGAACAGGTAGTTGCTATGATGAATGCTCCCGGTGTAATTAATGGACTGGTGGAGCAGATGTCGTGGGCAGAGTACGGCGTGAAGCGTGAGGCCACTTGGGCCATGTGCAACATCATCGTGCGAGCCAACGTCGAGTTCGTCAAGGAAGTCGTGCGTATGGGCGTCTTGCAGTCGTTCTGTCCGCTGCTGGACGAGTGGGAAGACCCGATGGTGGAGCTAGTTATTCTAGAGGCGATCGAGAGCTTGCTGCAGAAGGACCCGCAGGAAGGCCGCATAGCTGTTGAGGAGAGCGGGTGTCTGGCCAAGATAGAGGAGCTGTCTTATGACCAGAACGACGACGTGAGCGGCATGGCGTCGCAGCTGATAGACACGTGGTTCGACAACGAAGGCGACGAAGTGGACGCGACGTTAGCGCCGGCCGTCGTGGGGTCCGAACAGACCGGCGAGGCACTCAACTTCCAGCCCGTGCAGAGCGACGTCCAGTTCAACTTTAACCAGAGTTGATTGATAGCGAGTTCTCATTTTGATCTCACGGCTGCAAGCGACGATAAGTGGCGAAGAAAGCCGGTCGTACGCTGCTGTTCGTGAGTTAAGATACCCTTGTTTTCCGTCATTGTTGTCCATGTGAATTTCATTCGTGTTGAGCTCCTGCACTTCATGTGACGCGCGGAGAAATTCATTCCGGCCATGTTGGCTGACGGTTAGTCAGTCTGACGTAGCGCCGCGGTCTCGCACGGACTCTGCGCAGAGTACCACGTGCCGAGCGGAATCGTGGCATGATGTGTAAGCCGTACAAAGCAGCAGTCGCGGCGGCGCCTCGACCAGCCCTTGCGGCGATACGGAGCTGGGACGTGAGAGAGCGAGCCCGACGCCAGGGACTTCATGCATTCGTGGAGATAGGGCTCGTGAGTCATGCGCACATACGTTTTCCATTGGCGGCAAGCGGAGCAGACTGCATTGCCTCGAGGCCAAGGCACTGGGATGCTTGCCTCCAGAACCAGAGACGAAGGCGGTGGGAGACCCCACCTGCGAAAGATCAATCAAAAGATCGGCGGTCTCTTGCCGGAAGGTATGCATCGTGCTAGACTGTATGCTTCATTCGAACGGTATCGTATCGAAGCTGCAGCCGGCAGAGCATTCGTCGTAGCAGGACAATGCAGCAGCGCGGGTACTGGCGTCAATGTACAGTGGGATGCCATGTGAAGAGACCCATATCCACACTTGCAATCAGCTAGCCAACAAAGCAAACTACATGTACACGAATATTCAGGTGAACAAGGTTTCGTAACTGCGCAGCTTACGGCTCTCGTGTTCGTGCACAAAGTGCTCTTCGTCACCAGCAGCTTTGTCCAACTTGCAGAGTCGCTGTCCAATTGCCTGCTCGATTAAAAAACCGGATTAAAACGCAAAAACAGTACAACATACTTTAAAAGCTCACTTGAAACCCATGATAAAGAACAATAATTTTTCATAGTTAACAAAACAAGTCACGAAAACTCACTACTATGTAGTAAGCAAGAGCATAGAGTCTAAAGCCCGTGGCGAACGGTGTGATGGCGGCAATTCTTAATCGAGTATTTTTATTTTAATTGCTGCAGATGAGCTACTATCCGATAGTAGCCTACTATCCCAATGACACATGTTGCTGTAACCTGCAAAATTCACTCCACCTTTTAGACGCTTACATGAACTGAAACGAAAGAGGTGTACATGTACGTCCAGTAATCAGCAGTGAACGCTTGCACAGTACTGGGCACGTTGTTAATGGCCAAGTCTTCGCCTCACCTAGCAGTGAAACAATTAAAACAGATTTCCATTTCTCGGATCAATGGCAATCCTTTGCGTGATTCTCCATTATCCTGCTCACTATAAGCATGAGACCTTCGTACTCCGCAACGGAAGTTCCGCTAGCTTACGGAATGGATTTTGTCTGCATTTGCGTAACCAACAAAATAAAAGCCAAACACGCAACTGATCACTGATACAAAAGAATCTAAACTCATAAAAAATACAAGATTCGTTCATAAATAACAAACGGGCGACATCTTGGGGTTGATGAGTGTATTTGCCGTCCCGCGGGTAAACAGCATTGATTTGGGTTTTGTATGCCCAACGGTAATTATCAGCACCCTTCTACGAAAAGAATGCAGGTCTCATTGCCCTTGTCCGCAGCCCTTGTCATTCTGCAATTTGCTGCCTAGTGCGCACCCGCCTCCGTCGTCCGACCTTTCCAGCCCGCCAGCCAGCGTCGCCCTCCCCCCCTTGAATGGTTGACCCCCCAGACTTATATGGCCGAAACTCATGCGTGGACCCGAGCGAACTAAGGCGAGCGTCGTCTCAACAAGACGAGGCCGCGGCCGAGGAGATGCCGCCATCCTCTTCTTTCTCTTACGCTGCAGCGCACACTCCTAGAGCCAGCGCCGGCCGCGCCACGAGCGCAGAGAACAACAACCTACTACTGAACGACGATGACGTCGCTAGCGAACGATCTTCGCACCGCGACCGATTCCTGAGCGACGCTGAGCGTCTCGTAGCCATGGACCCGCGTAAGACCCGCGAATCCTTTGCCCAAGTCGACCACCGAGAGGACCAGTGGGCTTGGCATGAGAAGCCTGTGGCCACCATCCTGGAGGGCTTTGGAGTGGAACCCAAGCTCGGCCTGGACGCCGAGAACGCCAGCAAGCGCCTGGCCGAGAATGGCCCCAACTCTCTCAAGGCAGAGAAGAGAGTCCCCGTGTACATCATCTTCCTGTTGCAGTTCACCAACGTGATCATCGGTCTGCTGATGGCTGCAGCCCTGGCCTCCATCGCTCTACAAGAGTACGTGGAAGGCCTTGCCATCATCGCCATCGTGACGCTGAATGCTGTCATTGCTACGATCCAAGAGCGCAACGCCAGCAACGCCCTCGAGGCGTTGCAGAAGATGACGTCTCCGCAGTGCGTCGTACTGCGCGACGGCGGCCGCCAAGTCCAGATCCCGAGCGAGCAGCTCGTCACCGGAGATATCGTCGTGTTGACGACAGGAGACATTGTGCCGGCCGACATCCGTCTCATCCACAGCGCCGACTTCAAGGTCAACGATTGATCCTGACAGGCGAATCCGAAGATGTGCTCAAGAAATACGACGCCGACATGAGTCGCAGTGAAAAACTTACAGCTGACAACATGGTGTTCGCCTCCACTTCAGTGGCAACAGGCAACGCCACTGGAGTTGTCGTGGAAACAGGCATGAAGACTCGTGTGGGGTCCATTGCTGCTCTACTGCAGGGAGGAGGTGCGGACGGTTCCAAGCGCCCCAATTGCTGGCGTCGCTTTGTGGACAAATACTACCCGAAGATGACTCCTCTTCAAGAAAGCTTGCACAAATTGGGTGTGTTCATGGGCACAGTCGTGCTGGGCGTGTGTGTGATCGTCTTCATTGTCGGCATGGTGCGCGGTAACGCAGACCCAAAGAACCCGGAGCGGTCTGTCACGCTTTATGTGGTGATGATCGCCGTCTCCCTCGCTGTCAGTGCTGTACCTGAGGGTCTACCAATGGTCGTGACGATCTGTTTGTCCACCGGTACAGCCGACATGGTGAAGAAGAACGTCCTTGTTCGCAAACTTGCTGCCGTTGAGTCGCTGGGCGCTAGCTCAGTCATTTGTACGGACAAGACAGGCACGCTTACTGAAGGCAAGATGACGGCCGTCAAGATGTGGAGCGACTCGATTGTGTACGACATTACCGGCACGGGTTTCAACCCAACTGGTGACATTCTCCACAACGGAGTGAGCCAGCTTAAGGCTCCAGCCGTGTCTATCCCAGTGCGTACTACGTTGTTGTCAGCGGTGCTATGCAGCAACACGAGTTTACAGCAGGAGGAGAGCGAAACCGGAGCACCGATGTGGGTCCCGATGGGAAACTCGTCTGAAGCCCCACTGGTCGTTGCTGCCGCCAAAGCAGGAATCTGGCGCGAGGAAGTTATGAAGACGTACCCTCGAGTGGCAGAGGTGCCGTTCTCGTCTACAAGGAAGATGATGATTACTGTCAACGAGCTGCCTGCCGGTGAGCCACGCTTGGACATGCTCCAGCTTCCTGCCAAGACGATGATGGTTGCAAATGTGAAGGGAGCTCCCAACTACATTGCCAAGAATTGCACTCAACTGCTGCGTACTGACGGATCTGTCACGCCGATGCACGATCGCGAGCGTGAAAGTATCTTGGAGGCCGTTGATGCTCTATCTTCGCAAGCACTGCGCGTACTTGCTGTTGCAATTCGTCCGCTGGACAGAATGCCGTTTTCGGAGGACGAAGAAGATGTCGAAGCCAAGTTTGAGGCTCTTTGCGCGCCTCTTATCTTCGTCGGACTCGTTGCCTCCATTGATCCCCCTCGAGAGGGTGTGAAGGATGCCATTCACACGGCCCGTGAGGCTTCAATCCGGACTGTTATGATCACTGGTGACTACCTCAAGACGGCAGTGGCTATCGCTCGTGATATTGACCTGCTCCCTGTCGGCGCAGATGCCGAATCCCAAGCAGTGGATTGCGGCGTGTTGCGTCCCCGTCAGAACTTGTATCTGCCTGATGCTGAGCTGGATGAAATCACCAGTCAAGTGTCGGTGTTTGCCCGTGCGAAACCGGAAGACAAGATCGAGATCGTCAAATCTCTGCAGCGTCAAGGTCACGTTGCGGCTATGACCGGTGACGGTGTCAACGATGCACCGGCCCTAAAGGAAGCCGACATCGGTGTGGCCATGGGTATCGCTGGTACCGCCGTCGCGAAGGGTGCCTCGGATATGATCCTTACTGATGACAACTTCTGCAGCATCGTGTCCGCAGTCGAGAAGGGCCGAGAGATTTACGGCAACATCCAGCGCTTCGTGTGCTTCCTGTTATCGACCAACTTTGGCGAGATCACTCTGATTTTCACAGCTATCGCTGCCGGTATGCCCAATCCTTTGGAGCCACTGCAGATCCTGGTGCTCAACCTGTTTGCCGACGGTATGGCTGCTGTGGCGCTCAGTTTGGAGAAGGGAGATGGTACAGTTATGTCGGAACGCCCACGTCCCCGCTCGGAGCGCATCATCTTCGGTCGTCTGTGGGTCATTGTGCTGTCGAACGCCTTTTTGATCGCTTTTGGAGCTCTGATCGTGTTCACGTGTGGTCTCTACTGGAACTTTGAGAACATTTTCCTCGATGATATCACCGCCGGCATCGATACGGACCAGGGTGAAGAGGCCTACAGGAACGTAGTGTGTTCACGCTGGATGGGTCTGGGCAATGATCGCCAGGCATACAGCAATTGTGGAGCACGTTCGCTCAATGGCACGTACCTGTTCGACGAGAGTATTCGTTCACTGGACTACTACGAGAGCGATGACCTCCTGTGTTACGGTGGCGACTACGAGTGCGTGTCTGAAGGCACGTCACGCTCGCAGACGATGGCTTTCGTCTACATCACGACTATGGAGATGCTACGTGCCTACACCGCTCGCAGCTTCACCAAGTCTGTGTTCAAGGACATGTTCAGCAACAAGTGGATGCAGATGGCTGCTGTGGGCTCGTTGGCGTTGACTCTGTCAGTCACAAACATCCCTGTCATCAGCGACGATCTCTTCGGTTTCTCGCACATTGAATGGTACGAGTGGATGTTCTCGATGGTGTTCGCGCTGGTCATGGTGGCTTTCGGTGAGACGCTCAAGTTCATGTACCGCCGTCGTGACCGCAGCAAACTTCGCAAGGCTGCGGAAGACAACTACGCCGGAATGGTGGAGGAGATTCGCACGTTGCGCAACCACATCGAGCATCTCGAAACCAAATGGGAAACGGAGATGCACCAGCTCCGCATTCGCGTAGGCGACGAACCTGCTACTTTCTCCCCTGATGGTCAGTCGACGCTTACGTCTTCGTCGTCGTCCGGCTCGAGCGAGGAAAGATCGCTTTCGAAACCGCTACAGTAGCTGGTGCTGCGATCTCTTGTCTTCCTTTTGAGGAGAGAGATGCAAATGCATATTGTGCGTGTGGAAAATAGACAGGTAGTGATGATTAGTTGCGAGTCGTTGTCAGTAGTGAAGGCAAGCTAACAGTAATGGAATCTCCTGTTTGGATGGACTCGGTAAATTGCAAATGGGGCAACACTTTGCCTACGGTCTGATCACATGACGATGGTGCCAGGGTCGGGGATACTGGCTGAGATGGCCTTATGCGGCAGGATGAGGCCGCCGTTGATAAACTTTTCATCCTTCACCTGCACGTCTTCTCCGACGACGGTGATCCCCTCAATTCGGCACTAACAACACAACAAACATGTCAACGTTATGGTTACTTGCAGCAAAGACGAAGAGCGCGCACCCATCGGCCAATTGTGGAGCCCCATCCGATAATGCTCGACTGGATCCACGAGTTGGCGCGAACTGTCACGCCACGAAGCAGCGTCGTTCGGCTGAGTCGAACACCTGAAGACATCAACATAACCATCAGCTACTCATTCTTGAACTCGTATACCGTCAAACCTTACCGTCTTCAATAACGCATCCAGGGCCGACCACCACGTTGGGTCCAATCAGACATCCCTCTCCGATCACCGCCGTGGGGTCCACCATAACGTTACCGATAAACTTGGGGCCCGTGGACAGAGCATCCGCGTTCGTGCGTTCCACGTAGTCCAAGTGCAGACACATGCCCGAGAGGAAATCCTTAGGCTGGCCAATATCCATCCAGTAGCCTGGCAACACCATCGAGAAGAGGTTCCCCTCGGCTGCCATTTGTGGGAAAATCTCCTTCTCGATGGACGTCGGTCGCAACTGGATACGGTCCAGCACTTCTCGATTGAAAATGTAGATGCCGGCGTTGATCTTGTTGCCCACGTACTCCCTTGGTTTCTCCACGAAGCGTTGGATCTGTCCGTCAGCATTGGAGATCACCACGCCGTACTTCGACGGCTCGTCCACTCGGGTCACCATGATGGTGCCCTCAGCTCCGTGGGCCTTGTGGAAGTCCAGGAAATCCTGCAGTCGGTATTCGCAGATGACGTCGCTGTTGAACACGAAGAACGGATCTCCATCGTCCAGTAGCTCACGAGCCAATGCCAATGGCCCAGCAGTACCCAGGGGCTCTGTCTCATGGGAACACGAGATCTTGATATTGTACTGTAATTAGTTAATAGTAGTAGTGAACATGAGACCATCATTCCGACATGTTTCGTCCTTTTCGAAGCCATCAAGCCAACCTTCTTCTCCATGGACTCGAGCGCTGCCAGCATCACTTGCGGCTGATAGTTCACGGCAAGAATTACCTCCGTCACCCCCACCTGCAGAATAGGGCATCAAATTTTAGATTTTACTAGTAGACAATAAGGAGATTCTAATCGAAGATCTGCGTCTCTGGACGCCTACGTACCGCCACAAGCGCCTCGATCTGGTGCATTACAATGGACTTGTTGCAGAATTCCACCAGGGGCTTGGGGCACGACAGCGTGAGCGGCCGCAGCCGCGTGCCGAACCCTCCGACGAGGATCAGCGCCTTCATCTTATCGGGTCTTCGTCAAGAATGCATGCCAGATCTAGCTCATGTTAGGTACGAACTAGTGTACCACACACCAATTAACTAGTTAAAGACAACTTCAACTTCCCAACTTTAGCTTTCATTCCCATTGACGTGCCTCTCACCCCCGAGACCTGAGTCTATCACCGAAAATAGGCTCAAGAACCTTGATTCATGAGTGGCATGCAGCTTTACTCGGATATGGGTGGCGTTCCGGAGTTGCAATTGCTAATTGTCGCTGAAGAGCGACGATGGGGACCAAAACCGGAATTCTGGGTCTGGTCGTGCTGCTGGTGTCCCTAGCTCACGGATGTATCCACGACACAATTGATCATAAATTGGTTGGTGGTCATCAGCACTACGGAGACAACCACCCGTTCGACACTCGTAGACGGAAACTTACAGAGGAAGACTCGACCAACTTCCAGACGTACGAGTCTACCACCTCTGAGAATGCCTACCAACCAATTCGGATCACTCCATACTACGATGAAGCCACATTCAACATCCTATCAGAAGAGAAACGAGCTGTGCTGTATAAGGTTATACCCGACGCTATCAGTCGCTTTAACACCGCGTTGAAAGTCATCCCGGTACAAGGCAAACTGGCAGCGCAACACACGTGCAAGACGCAGTGGATGACGTCGCCCCCTATTTGCAAGACGTTCGTCGAGAACGAAAAGTGTCTCGAGATGCCTATTCCAAGCGAGCATTTCGGATCTACGCGATATTGCAACTCCTGCCCTAAAGAAGGCTGTGCAGGTGGAAGTTGTGATTACACCAATGCTCAGGGCGTTGCAAACACCGACTTCCTGCTGTATATCCGTGCCGCGACGACGAACTACTGCGGTTCTCGTACACTGGCTTACGCTTCATCGTGCCAGAAGGACCAGTATGATCGCCCCACCTTTGGTATGGCAAATTTCTGCCCCTCACAGATCAGTACAGCGCCTGAAGATTACGAGTCTCAAGTAGCGACTGCCATGCACGAAATGACGCACGCGCTCGGGTTTTCAGCGCAGTTCTTCCCCTACATGCGCTATCCTGACGGAACTCCACGCACACCGCGTGACTCCAGCGGGAGGCCACCAACGTACAAGACCGGAACGTGCCCCAATGGATCGCCTATCGACTACTACGTCGAGCCTAGCATCAATACAGTCAAGCATTTCATTGAACGAGGCCACGTCGTAGCGAAAATGGTGACTCCTAATGTAGCTGCATTCGTCAAGTCTCACTTCGGCTGTGACTCGCTGGCAGGAGCTGAAATCGAGCAACAAGACGACTCGGGATGCCTCGGATCGCACTGGGAAGAGCGAATATTCGAGCCCGAGTACATGACACCTGTCGACAGCTTCCGGAATGTTTTTAGCGCATTAACTCTCGCCTTTTTCGAGGATTCCGGTTGGTATCGCGCGAACTCGTCGACAGCCGAGCGCATGCATTTCGGAGAGAAGCGAGGGTGCGCTTTTGCCACTGAGAAGTGTATTAACCCAGGCACAGGTGAATCTGTTGCATCAGATCACTATTGCACGAGTAATGCCGCTGAAAGCTGCTCGGTTGATGCCTCGTCACGCTCGGTCTGCACACTTTCAAGTGGCCGAACCATCCCAGAGAACTATCGATATTTCGCTGGTGCACCTACAAAAGGTGGTGACGACTATGCAGACTTTTGTCCGATCAACGTTGGCTACACGTACGGAGACTGCAGCAACCCCACCAACCTCGTATTTCCTGGCTCAACCAAGATCAACATTTTAGGAGAATCCTACTGCCCCAACTGCAAGTGTACAGCTACGACACTCCGTAGTGCAGACTCGACCAATTGGATTGTCAACTCTCGTCGACAAACTGGATGCTACGCTATGCGTTGTTATGATAACGGTAGCAGAAATATTAGCAACAGTATCATCGAGTTTACGATTCCACGCAGTAAATCAGGTGACACTGTTCAAGTGAACTGCACAACAAAAGGTGAACAACTCTCGATCCCCGGATTCACTGGATACCTCACCTGTCCAGACCCGAGTATTATCTGCGACTCTGACGAGGCCTATAATTTCGTGGATGACACGGGGACCGGAGGAACCGGATCTGGTACTGCTAATCTACGCTCCACAAGTGCAGCAAACACTTTACACTCCGAGGCAACGTGGACTATTCTACTGGGATTGGTCATGACAGTTGCTTTCTTGTAGCGTATTTAAAGGTTTTGAAAAAAAAAAAAAGAAAGCTATTATTCTACTACTCAATCTATCTCGAAAGTTGAGTGAGGCGTTCATTGAAGAGCCAAGTGTTCATGAAGCTATGGTGGAAAATCAGTGCGTATTGCTCCAACTCGATAGCACCAATAGACAACAGTGGTTGGATCGGAGGCTCTGTTGTCTGCAGCTGTTGAAGCGTAAATGCCACGATAAACCGTGTTGGAGCGTCTGGGAATTTTTCGCGAAAGTGACTTTCACCTACGCGATGTGCTGACTCAAATGAGTCGGTGAGAGCAGCAGCACATTGTCTTGCTCTTGACAGCGTCACCAACCCGTCTACAAGATTAGCGCTCTGCTGGAACGCGGATTGTATCTCACTTTCTCTCTCGCGTAGATACGTCATGCGCTCCTTTATTTCTTCATCTTCATTTTCAGTAGGAGCTTGAACCAGAAGCTACGAAATCATTACATATACGAATCAGTAGCTGAGTTATTCTGTCAAAAGTAGTAGATTTCTTACCTCTCGAAGCCAAGAGGGCAGCACGGTTGACAGCTGCCAATTGCCAACCTGGCAGCAACTTAGTTGGTTTTCGCTAAGAAAAAGCGACTCAGGCTTTTCATCATCGCAGTTTCTATCTGTTTCAATCGGACCGCTCGATACGAAGTTGCATATCCCGTAAGAAGTTGAGTGTTCTGTAGGCTCCGTTTCCAATGCGTCCGTTTGGGTCTTCTTGCTGATTGCAAGTTGTACGTGAACCAGTTGGCTAGTTACGTCACTACGCAACTCCATGTCGGTGTCTTTACAAACAGCATCCGCGTCACTTGTGTCCGCGTCGGTACTCAAAGCCGCTGTAGCAGTAGGCGGTATATTTTGTACGAAAGAGTGGCGACACGTATAGCGTCCAAGTAGAGTTCCTTGTGTCAACAACACGCTTGGACGAAGGCCAGAAAGCGATTGTTGTAGTGGACCTACTACGTGCTGGAATAGCACTCGCGTGCTTGCGGTGGGTAAAATAGGAGACGCCTTGCTGGTTAGAGGGTCCTCGTTGTGTAAATTAGGGGACGTTGTGCTGGTTAGAGGGTCCGCGCTGAGTAAATTAGGGGACTCCGTGTTGGGAAGGGGTTCCTCGCTGGGTAAACTAGAGGGCGCCTTGTTGTCCCCGCTGGGTAAATTAGGGGACGTCGTGCTGGTAAGGTTGTCCTCGCTTGGTACATTAGCGGACACTGTGCTGTTAATCGGGCTCTCATTGCTGTAAATTTCACGAATCACCGAGCTAAAGCTCTGATAGCGACTGCCGCTAAGGAGAACAACCTGCTTCTTCACTTGCGATGTTGTCTCAGTGGCTTGATCATCGCGCTGCCAGTTGAAAAGTAGTTCAAGCAAGCATGCTGCGTCTTGTCGATAGAATCCAAACTTGCGACGGTACGAATGGTCCATGCTCGCTCTGCCCCTAAGATCTTTAAGAGATTCTTCAAATAGCGTCTCAGTTGATACCAACAGAAGTGTTGACAGCCTTGGTGTCGCCAGTAAACCTTTAAGCGCTGCCCAAGTGCATTCGTGGATACACGAGCCTCCTAGTTCCTGGATCGGAAGTATAAACAGCCCAAATGCCCCAAAACTGTGACAGAGAGGCTTTCGCCACCTCGCCTCGTCACCTTTTAGACGCTTTGAAGGCGGAAGAAGCAAATTTTGATACCGAATGTGGAATTTTGTCAGCAATTCTCGGACACTGACATTCTGCAGATCCTCACCGTCTTGATTGTTGGCTGGAAGTTGATCGTATTCATTCGTCAATATGAGATGTGCACCGTGTGCTAGACTTTCACGGACACCAGGGGCATTCCACGTGGCTCGATACATTTCTCGAAACCGACTAAGAATGATGGCAGTCGTCGAGTCTTCACTATCAATGGGTGGATTCGGTGAAACCACATTGTTGCTTGCATACACCAATGCCTCGTGGATGTGAACGTTGGATTCCGGGAAAAATTGGCCACCCAAGTGCACAGTCAAGTTGAGACCAACAAAAGGCATTTCCGCTGTATTCTCCGCAATTGTATGCCACAAATCTGGCATTTTATTGTCGTTCATCCCTGGAATTTGATATAGTTTGTTATCGTTGCATACCGCCACAACGTCGAATTGCTGTGGAGACTTGGCCACCGTAGTAAAACTAGCGAGATATTGCTCTGGATGTTGAATATTTTCAAAAAAAACTCGATAATAGTGACCCGATCGCAAATGTGTGATGAAAAATGAGTTGGCTTGATCAGCAAAAAAGCGCTGGAAGACACGACGACTCTCGTGTGTCAAAGGGTTCTCCACCAAGCACACAACGTCGGCATCTCTGTCGACTTCCAGCAGGATCACAGCACACCAATCATCTACCCATCCAACAACCGGGCCGATCAGAACTTTTGAGAGATTTTCACATTGCTGATCTTTGCCAACTCGGTTTATATTAACGATGTTGCTTTGGCCGCCCTCCAGTTTTAGTTCTAGGAAACATTTCTTGTTAATAACTTCTTCTAGGTGTTCGAACTCGAATCGATCGTGGAGAAGTCCTCTCCTCTTTGGAACCATTAATTTGTGAGGTATGGCGGAAATCGCTCCGATAGTAACTTGTTCCGCTTCAGTTCGTAACTTTAAGTCTTTCACACGCATCCTGGCAAAGCAACGCACTGGATTCGCACCACCAAGCACAACAAATTTTCGATTAGGTTGCTGAACTTTCCAGTCAAATAACATGGACAAAAGACGAGTTTGTGCTGCACTATTCGCACTCCATGAAGTTTCAACTTCGCCAGATAGAGCATCAACGGAAAGTTTTGCTTCCAGCTCAGCGTCGTCTATGAGTGGGGACTCCGAACAAACCAATAGTAGTTGAATAGTAGCGTTCTCCAGAGTTTCCTCAACGAATTTCCACTGTACGTTACTCAGCAGTTCGTTTTCACGCGCCTGAGATCCACCAGGCTCCAATCGGCTGCTACGTAAGTCCAATACGAGAATACCAATACCCCCCACTTCGAATAGAAACTCTTCTCCTCGTTGAGGAGCTAAAAGCTGATTGAAACTCACCAATTGCTTCTCCAGTTTTAATTTTTCAGCTTCCAAAGCTCGAAGATTTTTCTCCACTCGTCTCGCGCCGTCAATGTCGTGTCGCTTCTTCTGCACTTCCAGCTCCTCGGCAGTTTTAGGGATTTGATTCGACAGCGTGAAGATTTGAGCTGTAGAGGCCAAAGCTTTCTCAGCTATGACTATCATTTCAGCCTAAATTTCATAACAATTTAAGGTCGTATTCTAGATGTTTAAAGGTTAAAAGCGTTCTTACCTCACGTTCGACGAGCCGCTTATAGTCATCATCCCAAAGCTGCCGTTGGTATTCATGGTAAAGCCGTCGAGCGCATCGCGTGACAGTTCGAATGATTTGCATCTACACACGACAAATAAAGTAACGTTAACAAGTTTATTAAGATTTACGAGTAATCACGTTAGTTCATTACCCGTAGCGTCGGCTGTTTGTGGTCAATGTAGAACTCATCGCGCGTTGTAAATCGCGGGTAAATATCAGCGTCATTCCACATCATGAGGTTGCTGGCATTCGCGAGTACGAATTTCATATTAGGTGCTAGTGTCCATTGCGATCTGTACGCTGATCGAAGTATATCCATGGCCTTTGCCTCCATCATCGACCAGTCTGTTGCATTATATGTCAAGCCTCCTCCATGGAGTAAAAGCGTCTGCACCGCGCTGTCGAACATCCGGTCCATCGCGACTTGTCCTCCCAGATGCAGTACGATTTTTGACTCGCTCTGCTCCACCCGCTCCCGAATATCCTTCCACAAAGCCGTTTCTCCGCTTTCAAGATCGTACACATTATCCCCACTCACAACCACGACGTTCAACTTGTTCCCGTGCTCTAGACTCTGAGTCTGAAAGCTCGCTCGATGCGTCTCGACGTCCTCCTTTCGAACTCCCCCAAATGTCACTGTATAGTATTTACCCGGTACCAACCGATCGAATACGAAGACAGCAGGTTTGTTTGCTTCACATTGCACTGAAACTCGATACTGTGGCACCTCTACCATGGAATTCGTGGCAGCATCTAGCGTTGATAAATGAGCCGTCACAACTGCAAGTCGATTCACTTCCAGAAGCACTCGAGCGCATTGGAATTCCACTTTACCCACTACGGGGCCTAAAACCACCTTCACATCTACGAAACAATGCAAAAACAATTAAGAATGCGGTTTTTACACACAGTTTAAGTTAAGAAAAAAAAAGAGTAAGTGGAATACCCTCTCGAGTGCTAATTATCACATTATCGAGTGAAATTTGACCGGGGTGAAGCACGGGTGGAGGTCGACAACGCACACTTAGTGCCTCTAAGGATCTATGCATGTCCGCCAGCTCCTCCTTCAGCCTCACGGGCTCCGTCTCGCCGCTCGCAGCATTCCCCATGATGATGATACAAATCTAATGGCGACTCTACGTTGAAGTGGGTTTATTGTGAATTTTGTGTTGTGTGAGACACATCATGTACGGTGCTGGTGAATTTCGTGCGAATTGTTGATTATGGTGCTGCTCGACAAGAGGAAGGAGGTGCTGCGACTGTACCGCGAGATCCTGCGCACCACGCGCATGTTCCCGCACCGCAACGAACAGGGCCAGCTCTGGTCAGACGTGCTGCACAAGAATGCGCGTATGGAGATAGAGCAAAACCGCTACGAGACGGTAGAGTCCCCACGTTGAGCAAATTTGACAATATAAGCCCTAATGTTATATTCAAATTTTGTATTAGGACGGCGAGACCATCTCCAAGCGCATTCTTTTCGGCTGGAAGTGTCTGCAAGAAGTTCAGGAAAAGGTAGCAGGGCTATAACGTAATGTGTCGGTCATTCCTTAATTTATTTTCTTGATGCTTATTTCCTTTCAGATGATGGAGAAACAGCAAGAACTGTCGACCATGGCATCAAACCCAGACACTGACAAGAAACAGTAAACAAGTAGGAACAAACTTGGACCATGACAACAGAAACTGGAGATAATCGCCAACTTGAAATTGTTGAAACAATATCAACTTTACTTTTATGTTGTGACGATTCATGAAATGCTTGATGCTTCTATTGAAAAAATCACAATAGAGGCATGAAATGCTGGTTACTACTGAACTCGAGGTACAGCGTGAAGAGCACGTGCAGCGACTCGTATACGTTCTTGTGTACAGGAATGTCGAGCAGGGCGCAGATGACCCTAACGTATTGCTCCAGTCCCATGTCCAGATCTGCACCAGGTAGTGTTGTCTTGCTCAGAAGCTCCTCAAACTCTTCCGGCCACACCTGCATGAGGCTCTCGATGTCGGGCATCGTCTTGGTATAGTGAACTTGAGGAGGTGGTTTCGTGCGATGCAGATCGGCAATGGATTTAATCCAGCGGTCGATTTCTCGCGGAGATTTTTCAGCGTTCTCGATGCTTCGGACAACAATGTCACCATGCTTCTTCTTGGACGTAGAGCGGAGCTGTAAGTCTAGCACGGTGGCGTCCGACTGAGTCAGACTGGGTTCGTCCAGCATTTTTAGCCCCAATTGATCCGGTTGACCATCAGGACGCGGTACCTTTAAGAAGGCGTCCATATCACCCACTGCTGGGATATATTCTGGAATGAAACACTTGAGTCTGGTCTCCAATTCGATCTCTTGAGCCTTGAAGCGGCCAATGTACTGAAAGAGTTCTCGAATCTCATGTGAGACCTTTAAGTGAGCATAGTCACTCTCCTTGTATCCTCCAGCGTTGGCCATCATCGCTGCATGGTTCGAGCTTCCAGTACTCGTAGTCGTATCGGCGTTGCCAGTATGTGGAGCAGTGGATGAAGTTGCATGCGAGGTTGACTGGGACTCCTCCCCTTCATCGTCATCCTCATCGTCGTCATCGTCACTCTCCGATTCATCCGAGGAGCTCGCTGATTCCTGTGCAGGCTTTCGTGCTGGCTCAGGGCGTTTCTCGGGCATCGCAACAGCAGGTTTTGGGGCTGGAGTTGGGGTTTCCACTGCGGTTTTCTTCGCCTCACTTGGTGACTGGTGTGCAGCCGATGATGGATTGATTTTTTGTCGAGCTTTGGGACTCGGCTGGCCGTTGGTGTCAACACTATCGCCTGAGTCACTGAGATCTACTTCTTCATCGAACGGTTTGTTCTTCATCTCGTTGCCCACTGGATTCGAAGTAGGGGCACTACTTTTAGCAGTAGCCCCCATAGATGCACCCGAAGGCTTATCCGTGATCGTTTTATGTGGACTTTCAACCTCTTGAACACTCTCGGACAACTCCAATGCTTCGTCGAAAGGTTGGTTCTTCAGAGTTCTACCTCCTCCAGCCTGTTTCTTGGGCGAATTCGGGTCTTCGGACAAGATGCTGCCTTCCGACTCGCTCAAATCCACCGCTTCGTCGAAAGGTTGGTTCATTAAGGTGCGTTCCGATCCCCCGGTCTTGACACCATCGGAGGGTTTGGCACCGGCAGCTTTGGCATTCTTACGGTCGTCTTCTGACTCGGACATGTCTTCTTCGCTGGAATCCTCGTCCTCTTCGCTTCCACTATCGGAAATGTCTTCGTCGCTGTCATCCTTACCGGAATCGTCATCATGCTTGGCCTCTCGCTTCGACATGGTTGATATATCTCCTCAGTGGTTAACAGTTGAGCTCTGTAGCGTTTGGATCTCGTTACTGCTTAAGGTCGCGTCTGTTCAACATGTAAACAATTTAAAGAATTATCTTGCAGATTATTGTTAGTTAGATCTAGCCGTTAGAAAGTGTTTAGCTGCGAATGTTGCTAGATTCTGGACACCCACTTGGGCGTATGGGAGGACGAACGTGGGGAAAATGGAGAAGACGTGCGGCATATCCTCGTGTACATCGATCTCCCAGTTCGTGACGCCATCAGATTTAGCTTTAGCTGCTAGACGAGCACCGTGCTGGAAGATATAGTCAAGTTTACCAGTTTGTAGGAAAACCGGTGGGAGACCGTGGAGATCGCATTGGGCCGAGGAAGCGTCTTCCCACTTGCTTGGATCAGCGTAGCTTGGATGGTAGGCGGAGCTGAATGCTTTACACATTTCACGCGCTAGGAAACAGCCCGGGGCATCAGGTTCATCACCCGATAGGTCGACGGCTGGAGAGATTAACATGGCAGCAAGGGGTAAATTTTCTGGGTGGGATTCACGCAAACGAAGTAGTATCGACATGACGAGGCCTCCACCGGCACTGTCGCCTGCGAGGATGATCTGCGACGGCGAGAGGTTTTCGTGCTTTAGCAGGTAGTTCTCGTACAGTGTCACGGCATCCTCCGGTTGAGTGGGAAAACAGTACTCTGGGGCTTTACGGTAGTTCCCCAGAAGGAGGTCAACGTTGAGACCTTCGGTGGTCAACTTACTCAACTCCTTTTCGATCGTGGAGGCTAACACAGCACCGAGTGAGATGTAGAGTCTCGGGCTGAGCACTGCGAAGCCTCCACCATGCATGTAGAGCACCACCAAACGTTTGGCTTTATTCTGACGCCGTTGCTTGTTGTAAAGCCACACGTGCTCCAATCCGTTGAAGTGTACAGCCTCAAGGCTTCGATTGAGTTGGCAACAAGAAAACCAGCCGAGAATCGAGCCCACTACGTCACTTTGAGCTCGAATCCACTGCGCGTGCTTCTGAGTCGCCATCCGTTCACCGAACGACTCGGTACACACGCTGATCATCGAGTGGAGAAGTTCAAAGCGCAACGACCAATTTGGGAATTTGATAGTGCAACGTCGTATCGCAAACTGCACGAACGTCTTAAATGCCGTGACGATGATGCGTTGGAGCAGTATAACCGATTCCCATGGAGTCCGACACATGCCCATAAAGAGGAAATGGATCACCGCCACTGTGATCGCACCACCAGAAGCCATGAGCAGTAAATGCAGCTGGTTGCTCTCCATGAACACACCCTGCAGCAGAACTGCCAGCAAAACCAGAGCTGCTTGGTGTCGGGTCTTGAATGCGATCATGGTTGGCTTCAACTTGAACTGCTTGGATACCAATCGAAGAATGCGCTCCATGCCATGCTATGGTTCAACTCACGCCTGTCCGTTCCAGAAGACCCTGACGCTTGACAAGGGCTCCACGTATCTACTAGATACCAATGCGATGATATGCTTTGGTGACGCTGGTGCCGTAGACGGAAAAACACATAGATCGGTATGCTATGGCTGGATATTATCATAATGCGCTGGAAAATATGTGAAGCTCGCAACTATTCATGAATGAGCTTCTTCCTATCGAAGTCATAAGTGCATTCTTCATACTGTACAGATCCTAATCTTGCGCTTTGCAACAGCCAGCTCCAAGTGAGTCAAAGTTCCGATGCCATGAATCACTAGCAAAATCTCCGTCTAGCAAGCAGTCGTGGCTCGACCTTTGTGGAAGGTAGTCCTCCTCGGGTACGCAATCGCAACTGCCCGTAGTGTCGGTGCCTTCGGTTTTGGTCGTTCCGTTACCATTTCTGATGGATCCTCTTGCTCCTCGCTGGATGAGGTTGCGGTGGACGCATCAGACGACGTCGACACGGAGGTCGTCTCGACAACGGGCTTTAAATTGCCGGTCGACGGTATGTGAACAAGTGAGAAGAGCGTGGCGCCACTGACACGACGCTTGCCACGCTTGAATAGGACTTGCTTCGGGAGTAATACCCCACACTCTGGGAGATTTTCTTCCTCGTAGAGGAACGCCTTGCTCTCACGCGGTGAAGGCTTGGCCTCCACAACTTCTTGAAACTTGACATTCTTTCTGGACGGATCGTAACTTGTTTTCGCCTTCTTCGCCACGTCTTGGATATGTACAACTTTCGTCTCCTGAACCTTCGCAACTTTCTTGTCCGGACTATCGAACGTTTTCGCTGGAGACCGTACCCTTTTGTCAGTAGGGATGACTGTGTATTCTTCTGCTGCGATGGTCTTTACGTCGTCGTTGGAGTGCAAACTACTGTAATGGTCGTCCTTATAGAGCAGGTGCAGTATCCGATACGGTGGCGGCGCCAGGTTGTGCTTGTCTACATCTTCGTTCGTTACTCGGAGTCTGCGAACGGGGCCTGTGTGTACTACAATGTGAATGTTGAAGAGTCTGGCCGCTGCGTACAGCTCCAAATGGCCGCCCCACTCGCCGTCCTCGTGCATACGGGCACAGTAGTCGTCCACTTGTTCGCCGTCTACGAAAGGTTGGAAATGCTTTTCTTCTCTCTCGATGAAATCCACAAGCCGTCGTCGAATATCCTGGTGGAACAGCTCGTTGTTGTAGAGCTGGTCGCTTATAGCTCGGAACAGGCAGTTGCCGTCCTTACCAATAGGAACGACAGTCCACCCGAGCGCTGAATAGTGCTGTTCTACCTGTTCGTTGCTGGTCCAAGGCGCATCTCGCTCCACGCCGCAGTGTGACGAGCCGTATTCAACCCGCGGGACGTACGAACAGCCCGACTCGGATCTCTGTTTGGTCTTCTGGAGCTGCTCGTCCACTGCCTGTGCTGCAGCCGCGGCAACCAGATCGTCCCCACTGTTGTCGGTCTTTGAGCTAAACCAGAAACGAACCCCTTTATGAGACCGTTTGGTGCTCTTTGAAGACGACCGAAGGCTGAATCGAGAGCTCAGTCTCGTTGTCATGGTCGGTCCTAGATATTACAGTGCCGTGGTGAATTCACAAATGGATGAAAACCCCAGCTCACGTCCCGATACGGTAGTGGCAGAGGTAGCCGGCAGTTCCGTATCAGCTGGCGACGGGATCCATACAGTCGCACATAACGCCCGTACCCTCTCAACGAACGCCATAACCGTTTGTGGAGTGCAATTGACCAGCCGATCGTAGGGCCTTGATGCATGGGATGCCGACACTTAGTCACGACCTCGTAGACGCCATGCTCAATTGGCGCAACAGAAGACGAAGCTACTTTAGTAAAGACGGCAAAGTCCTCGGCCAATCGAGATCGAGCTTCAACTGGAACCAGATCATTTATTTCTGACTCTACGATCGATTATTTCGTCGTCGATACCTTGCGAGCAACGCTTTTTGCTGCCTTCTCGGCCTTGCGGAGCTGACGCTGTTCTTTCTTGCTCAGGGTTTTGCCGGCTGCTACCTGTAATTGTTTACCGAGCCTACTTGCCAGACTGTCGACCTCGGCGTCTGGTGTATCTGTAGGTATGTTTGGAACGACACGCTGCTCCGGCTGGCCGTCACTTGTGGATTCCGACGCAGAAGCGTGCGTCTGCCATCACTGCAAGATCAAGGACGGAAATCCAACGCAAACACTTAGTAACCGTGCGAAAATCCGCCAAGAACAGCACGCACCTTTGCGAAGTCCTCGGGGCGAAAGCCGTCCCAATTGAGCTCGATTGAAACCGGCAGACTGTCTGGATCCACGGGGTCTTTTAAGGCTCGCACGCTGTCGTAGTGATCTTCGCCGTGGTAGGCCACGTGAACGAACCGCGTGGGTTTGAGACGGTCGCACTCAATCACCATGATCCGTGCGCTTGGCTGGTCTTGATGGACGACAACGTACACTTGAAACAACCGAGCCGCAGCGTACAGCTCCTGGTTGCCGCCCCACGTGCCATCTTCCCGCATTCGCTCACAGTACTGCACCACAATAGAAACACGTGAGCATCTTAAACCCCTGCACCCGTCCTCTATCCGTCCACAACCTTCTCGAACTTCTCCTCGTCTTCCATGAACGGCTCAAAGTCGTCACGATGCTGTTCCAAGTAGCTCACGATTTTCTTACATAAGGCAGCACATCAGACTCTATCGACCAGCTTCTGGCCACTTTTAAAGGCCCACCTTTCGAACCTCCTCGTGCTGATGCTGATCTCCGTAAAGCTGGTCACCTAGTGCGCTACAGAACGTGACAAGCGGCACCTGCAATCCGTGACACCTACGCACTCTACATACAGCCACTGTCACTTTGACCTACCGGAAGAGGCAATTACCGTCAGCCTCCACTTCCTGCAGACGAAATGCAATGCGTGACAACGTGTCAGCTGCAAGAAATTGGAGACCGTGGACAGTAGCCGCTATTCCTACATGTAATTTACAGCCGACATCTACTAGTTGCCTCCGCATGAGCTCGATGGCGCCATCGTCCACTACATAGGACGCACTCTTCTGCTTCTTCTTAGGCTTAGCCTTTGTCTTCGCCACGACATCATCCAGTCGTTTGCCTGTGGCAGCCTCAAAAATCACTTTCTGCACGTGACACAATGGAGATAAATCCACAAGACACCAGTGTACAGAGTGCGCCGACTACTACGCAACACCGATGACTCGTACCGGAGCTTTCTTGGCCAGCTTCTTGACGACCTTGCGTCCCATATTTCGCGCGGTATTCGCTCGCAACCTACAATCCAGGTCTACCTACAAGCTATAAACTTCCCAAATTGACAACCTATAGATCATCAGATTTGGTTAAGTATACACAACTATTTTGACCAATCAGCATTCCCAATAAGCGCATGCTCCTTCGCCAGTCAAAGGCAGTGTTCAACTTCACGCAGCATGGTTGAGACCCGCCGGACGTCGCGCCGTCTCCAGGCCAAGGCCACCGGTACCAGCCCATCGCCGTCTCCTATGAGCTCGCCCGTTGGTCGCGTCCCCATAAGGAAATCGCGTCGCACACCGTCGCCGCGCAGCCGTGCCAAGAAGGCGCAGGACGAGACAGAGACTGCGAAGCAGGAGGAGGCGCAGGACGAGATAGAGACTGCAAAGCAGGAGGAGGCGCAGGAGATCCCCGTCGTGACGGACGAGGAGGAAAAGGAGACACAGGTGGAGACGACGGGACAGGCGACACGAGTGGAAGCCATTGAGGTTGGACAGGCAGCGGAGAAGGATGCTGCAGCTCCAGAGGAGGAGGAAGAGGAGATCATACTGCTGGATGATAACGAAGATGCACAGGAGAACCAGTTGGAAGTCGTTGAGACTGAGCAGGAAGAAGATAAAGTCGAAGCTCCGGTGGAAATTGAAGAGGAGGAGATTATGCTCCTGGATGATGTCGAAGAGGAGGAAGAAGACGATGATGAAGATATCGACCAATACGTACGTCATGCAGCTTTGAAATTAGATAACGGTGTCTTGTGCTGACGTTTTTTTGTGTTTCTTGTTGCAGGCTTCAATTGCTGCGTCGGGTTTGAACCTGTCTACAAAGTCTGCAGCCTCTACTTCTGCTGTCTCTGCAAAGCCGTCGGCGGCTTCAGTACTGAAGCGGCGGCTGGTGCCGAACCAGTTGGACAGCGGCGCCTCGCAGTACCAGGAGTTCTTCAACTTTGCAGGCTCGAAGCGCTCGCAGGCAGCGACGTTGCGTGCCGACGCGCGCGCTGCAGAGGAGGCCAAGGTGCTTGCAGCGGGTCAGAAGGCCGTGGCGCACTCGGACAGGCAACGCGCCGAGTCCCAATACAAAAAGTCGGCTGGACGTCGGTGGTTCAACTTCGAGTCGGAGGAGATGACGGATGACGCGCGCCGCGACTTCGCCTTGCTGCGTATGCGTAACTACCTGGACCCGAAGAAGTTCTACAAGACCTCGGACCATACACGCGCGCTGCCCAAACACTTCCAGATGGGTGTGGTGATCGAGGGCGCGCACGAGTTCCACTCGGCTCGCCTGACCAAGAAACAGCGCCGTAAAACCTTCACGGACGAGATCATGGCGGACGAGGCCATCGTACAGTACACGAACCGCGTGGCCGGCAACATCCAGAAGGCACGCAGTAACCAGGGCCGTAAGAAGAGACGACGCAACTAGAAAACGACCGTCTCGACCGAGCAATATAGATTTCAATGCATTCCCTCATCAGTTCTTGACCTCAAGTCGGTTGGAAACGGGCAACCGTTTGAAGATTGTTCACGATCGAATCATCGATGGGTTAGTTTACGGTGTCTGCCTCGTTAAAGATTTGAAGGTGCCGGCGTGAAGCATGTTGCGCTCTCAAAAGGGCCTCATAGTTGAACAGGAGTGCCTGGAAACACTTCAAAACACCGCGTCACGCGAGCTGTGTTCGGACGCTACAGCGACTGTGGTGCTTGGTATCCATCCGACTTCAACGTCCGCACCGGAACAGGTGCATTCGAGTTGAGGTGAGACTTTCTACTTGACGCTCATTCTCAACTTTGCAAGTAGGCCCGAAATGGTCGCGTTAACGCAGCAAATGAAGCTGAGAGCTCAATGGGCCATGCTGAGGCGGATCTGGGCTGACCCGGACCGACGGCGTTTGATCGTGCGTCTGCTGTTCAGCGGTGTGACGGGAGCTCTGACGGTGGCGATTCTAAACGAGACTTTCAAGGGCATGTGCAGTACACCGTGGGAAGCTGTGCGCTTAATGGTGCGCTTGGTCGCCATCGTCTGCTCAACCATCGTCGGATTCGTGGCGCGAGGTTGCAAGCCTAAATTCAAGAGCTGGACGCTTAGCTTTGAGGTCCTGCGAGCTGTCATCCGAGAATGTACTCGACCTCCTCATGGTGTGCGCATGGTGGTCAATGCCAAGCACGCGCGTTTGATCCGTTCACAGAGTGCTGCGTTTGGTACCGCTCTCGGATGGTTCGCTTGTCGACAGTACGGCCGGCTTCTCGAACCAGTACACGCCAACGGACTGGAGCATGTGTGGCTCCGATCCACTGCTGTATCAACGCCTACGACTAAACGGTTCGTAGTGCTCTACGTCCACGGCGGTGGTTTCGCAGTCATGAGTCCGAGACTCTACATCTCGTTTGGAGCGACCCTCGCCGCCGCCATCGAGAAGGAGCTCCATCAACAACTTGGTACCAGCGAATCTGTTCAAGTCGACGTCTTCCTCGGTAACTACCGCAAGGCACCGGAGCACTGCTTCCCTACGCCTCCTGAAGATACCGTCGCTGCGTACAAGCATCTGCTCCATACAGAGGGTATCCCTCCAGAGCAGATCATCCTTGCCGGTGACAGTGCTGGTGGCGGTCTGGTGATGTCAACTTTGCTAAGAATGCGAGACACCAGCAGAGCGCACTTGCCTCTTGCTGCCATCCTAATCTGCCCCGCCGTTGATCTGTCGGAGATTGAAACCCATGGCGACTCCGAAGTGAAGTCAGCGCATTGCATTCTGTCACCGGAGATGATCGCAGCTGGACGACGAGGATACCACACGACGGCGTCGGACCCGACGACGTGGGCGGACGCATCGTCCGTTCACTGCGATCTGCGTGGACTTCCCCCCGTGTTTGTCCAAGCTGCAAGCCTCGACTACATCTATCAGCACTCCATCGGACTGGCTCAAAAGGCAGAAGCTGATGGAGTGACCAACTGGGAGCTGGACGTTCATGAGGACCTGCCGCATGTGTTCGCTATTTTTCCGTCCTACGTGCTGCCGTACGCACAGATCGGCGTGCAGAGGGCGGCAGCGTTCGCAGCTAAGCACTTCGCCAAAGCTTCTAGTGGTGATAACACTACGAACGAGAACGTAGTTGCATCGGCAGCTTAGTTGTTTCGATCGTATGAAGAAGTAATGACAACTTCAACGTGTATGTAAGTAAGGTTACATGTAGTTCACATTGCAGCTTTCTATGCTGCCATAGCGGCGGGGTTGAAGCCGCTGTTGGTCTTCAACGTCGGACGTAGTTGTCGGACGATAAATGCTGCTGTCTTTTGGATAGCCACGTCGGCGTGCGGTAAGAACCACGCTGGGAAAATGGGGAAGACGTGGGGCATGCCCTTGTGTAGGTCGTATTCCCAGTTAGTGACACCGTCCGCATTAGACTTGGCCACCAAGCGCACCGCGTGCTGGTGAATACTGTCAAGATCTCCGGTCTGTACGAACACCGGCGGCAGATTGCGGAGGTCACAGTGGACGGATGAGGCATCGCCCCACTTGCTGGGGTCCTCGATCGACGGGTGATACGCTTTCAACACTGCGTTGCAGCATTCCGGTGTTAGAATGCAGTTCGAGGACGGAAGCTCATCGCCCGTGAGGTCGACGTAGGGACACAGGAGAGCAGCACACAACGGGAGGAAGTGAGGCTTGGTACGGCGTTCTCTTAGCATCGCCGACATGATTAGCCCGGCACCGGCACTATCACCGGCGAGAACAACTTGAGACGGGTCCAAGTTTTCATGGTACAACAAGTGTTCGTAAACCTTGACGATGTCTTGAGGTTGAGTCGGATAGCTGTACTTAGGCACCTTGCGATAGTTCGCCAGGAAAATCTCCACGTGCATCTTGCTGGCCGCCTCCGGTCCAAGTTGACGGACCAGTTCCTTCTCGATGAAGCTGCACAAGGCGTTGCTGAAGTGGATGTACAGCCTTGGACTCATGATAGCGAAGCCACCTCCGTGTGCGTACAGCACTACGAGTCTCTTGGTGTTGGGCTTCCGAGGCATCTGAGACCGCAGCCAGATATGCTCCAGCCCATTGATCTTCACCGGTTCATAGCGTTTGCCTGCCCTACGACAGGCTTTGCGACCCCAAAACGTGCCAAACCACTCGCTCTGCTCACGGACGATGGACGCGTAGCTCTCGTCTCCCAGTACACGCTCACCGTACAATTCCATCCCCACACGAATGAAAATGCGGAACAGCTCGAATCTCAGCGTCCACTGCGGGAAAATGGGCTTGAAACCTCGAGCGATGAACTGCAGCACGGTCTTGGCAAAGGCGTACAGCAGACTACCAAGCAAGTAGGCGCCCTCCAACGGGTCCTTGCACAGTCCACGCATCGCAATGTGCAGCACCTTGACCACGACTGCGGCGCCGGCACCACCGAACAGCAACAGCATGAGCTTATAGCGCTGGTGAGCATCGGATAGTACCAACACCAAGGCGGTGCTCACCGCCCAAGGTGTCGCCTTGAGCACGGACGGCAGGCGACTGGCCTTGGCGAGCATGGTTGCGTTGCTGGAGATTTTCGGAGCTGAAAGATGTCGCGGGGATCTCGCACAAATGCAAATGAGCCCGTCAGCCCCTCGCCTCCATTGGCCTTGGCTGCGAGCGAGCCTTGGGCCGATGCCCGATGCCCTCGGCCTGAGGCCGCACAGCTGGTGGGCGAAGCCATACCCGACGAGGACCTCTTGCATCGTCTGCATGGCGCACGCATGCTGACGAATCCCACTTCGCCGTGCCATCAGGAGGGAGCACAATACCAAATTGGCTCGCGAATGCGTTGGCATTGCCAACTTGGCAATACTGATCGTGATCCCTTTGAACGGGATCGGCGGGCGTACGTGACCTCTGCTTATGGCTGTGAGATACTTCGCCAATTGCATTCTAGTTCACGATATGCTGGACGTGTTGGTCATAGTAGGTCGTACTTGTCGATCCGGCATTTTATAGTTCATCAATGTCGCAGTGACTCACTGGCAGTGAGTCACTGCCACTGGTAGTGCCAGTGAGGCAAGTGGATGGTGGTGGGCTACGCGGCATCATGTGGAGCCAATGGCGATGTCATGCGCGGTGACATCCATGTCACCGCGGACACATGGGTACCTCACGTGCGGACGACCGCCGGTCACGGGACCTGATCTCGTACGCGTCGTACAGACACTCGACTCGAAGCTCGGGTGCCCATGTTGAAGGTCTACAGCACTGCACGTACTTGGTCCATTGAAGTTGTATCATATGCCAAGGAAGCCTGCCGTCCTGCACAAGATGAATAAACGAACACGAATATAGGGGAAAATACAAACACATACGTACACGTCCTTAGGTGCTGCACGGCAACCCGTCGAGCTCAGTTCATTATCTTCTTGCCTGGCATTTCTAGAACTGGGCGCGTCGCTTCTCCGCCGCGGTCACGGCCTTCGCGAGACTCTGCTCGAACGGCGGGTAGCACACTCCCTCCTCCGTGATGATGCCGGTCAAGTAGCGGTTGGGCGTGACGTCGAACGCCGGGTTGAACACTGGGCAGCCCTCTGGCGCGATGCGAACGCCGCGAATGCACGCCACCTCGTCGGCGCTGCGCTCTTCAATGGGGATGCCCATACCTTCGAGGAAGTTGAGATCGATGGTGCTTGTGGGCACGCACGCGTAGACAGGAACTTTGTTCTCCTTAGCAACCACCGCCAGTTTGTACGTGCCGATCTTGTTCACGACGTCTCCGTTGGCTGCCACACGGTCAGCGCCGAACAGCACCACATCCACCTTGCCGGACAGCATGAGGTAGCCCGCAGCATTGTCAGCGATGAGATGAATGGGTACGCCCTCCCGCATGAGCTCCCATGCTGACAGACGCGCACCCTGCAGACGCGGACGGGTTTCGTCCACCCATACGTGGACGTTCTTGCCCTGCGCGTGGCACTCGTAGATGACACCGATAGCCGTTCCGATGTCTACCGTGGCCAAAGCGCCGGTGTTGCAGTGGTGCAGGATGTTAGCGCCGGCCGGCACGACCTCGGCTCCGAACTCGCTCAGTCTCTTATTGATGGCCACATCCTCCTCGGCAAGTGCCTGTGCTACCGTCAGCGTATACGTCACCAAGTCGGCGACGCTCACGTCCGTCTGCACCTTGGCACGGAGCTCCTTAACCACACGCTCCGTCGCCCAGGTCAGGTTGACGGCCGTAGGTCGCGCGGCGTCGATGGTCGCCTTGGCCTGCTCCACGGTCTGAAGCAGATCCTCCTTGGTACTGCTCGCTGTGGCCTGGAAGTTCTTGGCTGCGATCGCCAAGCCGAACGCGCCGGCCGCGCCGATGGCGGGGGCGCCGCGCACCGCCATGTCCGCGATGGTGCGCGTGACGTCGTCCACCGTCTCGCAGCGCATCAGCACCAGCTCCGTCGGTAGTTTGCGCTGGTCGATGAGTTGCAGACCGCCATCGGTCCACAGCACGGATCGCATACGTTCGCCAGCCATCGTCTCTATCCGGCCGGTCGCTTGTCAAATGTGGCAAGTCGAACTTAGTGTTGATCTTGGGATTGGCGGGGCGTCGCGCACGATCTTGAAGCGATGCAGTGGACTCGCGAGCTCAACGACCTGCTGAACCAGTGTGTGTTTGCCAGCGGCTACGACTTCGAGGCATCCAGCGAGCTGTTCTGCCAACAGGCCACCAAACTGAGACTGTGGAATGACAGCGGGGAAGTGGCACTGACGGCGAACGAGTGTCAAGAACAATGGATGGTGTTAAACCCAACGGAGGAAGACGACGGCGAAGAAGATAAAGGAGAAGGCCCAGAGACGCACAGCAATGAGAATAGAGACCAGCGCGCCATTGACGCGATTGCTGAGGAGGAGGACTATGTTGTCGTGCCGGATGGAGGACCTCGACTGGAGCTGTCGCTGTCAGACGCCGAGCTGGATCAGCTGCTAAGTACACTGCCATCTAGTGAGGAACCTGAAGCAGACGCAAAGATGACGAGTCCTCGCAGTGAGATGCAATGGGTACTGGCGTTCTTGACAGACCCAGATGCGATTGCTTGTGTTGACGCTGAAGCCAAGAACTTGTTGGGAAGTCGTGAAAAGAACGATGACGACAACTACCAGGGATTCTTGCAAGACCTTCACGAAGCGAATCTAATGGCACCAGCACCGGTCAGTACAGTTGATAGACATTCCCAGCAACAGAACAGAGTAGGCATAGCTCGGGTTAATAACACCGACGATAGCGATGAAGACAGCAGCGATGAGGATCAAGAGGAATGGGAGCGTACTCGACAGGCGATGAAACGCTCGATGAAGCTTCAGTAGCTCATCAGGATTCATCGCGGTATTCATAAATAATGGATCATGCTCTAGCAGCAACATTTTCTGCCTTTCGCCGTTTGTTTTGTCGCTTCCTCGGGGCAGATTTTGCTGTCGTCGCGCGCTCTTTCTTCTTCCGTTTGGCATATTTTTCGGGCTCTTCAACGTGCATTACACTAACGTCGAGACCGATCTCTTCGCTGAGAACCTCTAGCCACAGCAACTGCTTGTCACTGAGTCGGTCCCGAGGGCCCTTGACTTCTACTAACTTCAGCTGTGCCGTGTAGCTGCCATCTTTCAAAAGAGCAAGGATATGTTGCAGCGGTTGCTCTTCCAGCTTGACTTCGGCCATCTTCTTCTTCGAATCCTCCTCTAGCGACTCTGTGTATAATTGCGTCTTCTCGTTCATGTTCAGCTCCTCATCCATGCCACAAAATGCGTGAACATTTAAGTAACCATGACTATCAATTGTCCGAAGTGGAGATGGCGGCACAGGGTCCTCGGGTTTGGAGAGCTCAATTCGCAATAGAAGTAGATCAGGCAGACCATTCTGAGCCTGATGGAACTCCTTTGATGTGGCCATGTAGCGCAACAGACTGGCAAGCTGCGTTCGCCCGATTGCTGCAACAGTGAGCAAGTGATATTGCAACATGGCAACGTCATCGGTCGGCCAGTGGACAAATCTACTCACCTTCCCAAACTCGGCGTTCCATCTTGTCACAAATGTTGTCAACAACTCCTCCATCGTCCATTCACTCTCCACTTGAGCTAATCGACGCTCGATTAGCTCGCGTCGGTTTTCATAGAACACTTCCGCATAGCCGAAATCGAGTGGTGCTGACTGAAATGGCGTCTGGAAGACATCGGGGATACTAGCGTACAGCACGTCCCACATCAAAATACCGAAGAGATTCCCAAACACCATACCTTCACAATGGACCCCGTACCATCCTCCAAATCTTGTGTTCTCAGCGGATACTTCATCTACAGGGTGGTGGTCCCGGTAGTATTGCAAAACAAGCTGTTCGACTGTGCACGGCTCGTCGTCGTAGCCCACGAACCGCGATTTTTCTCCTGTTTGGCGGTTTAGCGGTCGACCCACAATGCGGCTCTTGCGGTATTCGTAGCATATGTGAGTCTCAACTGGTACCATCTTCTCCTCATCGTCATCGTGCTCTGATGTCGGGGCAATAAGGCTGGTCCCAGTACTTTGCAGCAACAAATCAGCAGTGGACAGTGACTCAACTCGTATCCTTTCGTCGCGGTCTTTTTGACGCTCCAATCGATTCAAACGCCTCTGAATTGCGATTCGATCTGCTGCGAGGACGTGTGGATCCTCCAGTGCATTCAAGCACGTATCTCGAGCTTGATCTGCGCACTTCAAATGTTCCAAATTCAACGCCAGACGATCCCACCAGTAGCCACGTTTTCGCTCAAGAAACGGCGCTGCTAGCAATTCATTCAGCAGCAAAGTGGCGATCTGATACTTTCGCATCTTCTCGTACAAACCCACCGCCGTATGCAAGATCCGAACCAGATGGTAGCCAGCATTACACTTGGAAAAGAACACGGGGATACCAGAAATGTTGTACGCTGCGGCCTTCATCCACTTCAAATATGTCTGTAAACAGCCTCTGCTAGCCAGTACCAAGTCGTCCAGCGACTGCATCTTTTCGATCTCGGTGTAAAATTGCTCCCAGCTGCGCATTTGCCAATTTGCAGAAGTTTTCTCCTCAGTTTTTCCAGTTGAAGCAACAACGACGCACTCGTCTTCGGTCTCTGTGGACTCTTCGTCTTCATAAAGAATGTATATTAACCTCTGAAAGGCGAGAAACACTGGTGGAGCATCTGAAAGCATCCACTTGAGCTCCAGATCTGGTTCCTGGTACTCCTTCTCTGGTGTCACTATTTGTATACACTGCTCCACAACATTCATAACGCGATGCAGCTGGTACGCCACTTCATAGCTCACGTAGGCCTCTGGCGAAGGGAAGACGCGATGAGAGTTCAGCATCTCGGTAGTAGACTCATCATCACGCGAGCACTTGGTCAATGTATATTCTGGATACGCCACTTTCTTGAAAAACACCATCAGCCCGGGCCACTGCGTCGGTTCCTGCCTTAATTTATGCGCGGCCAAGGCAATCAGCCGGGCCTCATCCTCCATCTGTGGAGGCATCAAGGACATCGCGTTAAATGGAGGCGTCGAGACGAAGTAGAACAGGCGATGCATCCTCAGCATTAGATCTCGTGTGGCTGGAGTCATCCTCAGAGCCATCACGTCGGAGCTCTTCCTGCCTGTTAAAGTGTAACCTTCGAGCCAAATCTGCTGCATGAGCTGAGCCACGGGGATTCTGGAACCGTCAATGCGACGCTGGGTCTTCACCACCTTCCTGATCGCCGTCATGAGCTCCGCCTTGGCAATTTGTTTCCTACTACCTGTCATTTTCTTATATAACGCCGCGAGTTCGGGTGCTGTGGCACATCGTTCAATTGCATCGAGTGCAGTCTCCAGTGTAACCAATTCTTGGCTTAGAGATGGGGTTTGGGACGGCTTCGTGACGGGAAATTGCTGTAGGAAGCCAGCGTCGATCATCACGTGGACGACGTCTTGTACCTGCTCGTTGATTGGCTGCTGTTCGTCCTGAACGAAGTAGCGGAAGAGCGACGTGATCCTGTACCAAGGGCCTTGGCGTTGTAGTAGACGCGCATACAGTTGCTGTTCGAAAGGTTTCAAGTCTGTTAAGAAGCGAGATGCGAGGGCGATTTCCTCCGCACACAAGAGGTCCCGGAAGTCTTCGCGCTCGAATACAATCGTGGACAACACGAGCGTGAAGTGGCGAGCGTATGCGTCTTCCCATGGCGGTTCTTCGTCGCTAGAGACGTCGTGTAGAGGCTCATACTTGACTTTGGTGTCCGCATCCACCATGAGTGCGGAATTCGTGGTCACTATTTTTCGCGTTAGTGACCTCGGTTGCAACATAAGAGCTCCTTCTCTCTCATTGTGCAACTTTCCTTTCAAAGGACTGGCTTGGCTGAAATCAAGAATCGCAGGACTGAGAGCTGATCAGAATTGAGGGGGGTCATGGCTACTCCGCCTCCGATCAAGGATATCGTACCTCCCAAGCCCACCAAGTCTCGACGCCAGAGCAATGGCAACGGCAACTTGACCAACTACCAGCGCAAGGTCATCTGCGAGTTCTACCGCAAGAGCGGCGGCGTCATGTCGCAAAAAGACCTGGCGCAATGGACCAAGCACGAGTTCGGACTCAAGAAGACGCCGGCGCAGTCCACGATCTCGGGGATTCTACGTCGCCAGCATGAGTTCATCAACATGAGTTCGCTAGAGCTTGGTATCAAGAAGCGGCGTGTGGTGCAGCACCCTCAACTGGACTCTGCGTTGGCCAATTGGGTCATTCAAATGGCTGGAAGGGGTCAGACTGTACAGGGAGATCTAACGAAGGAAAAAGCCAAGGAATTCGCTCAAATGCTTGGGATCCCAGACAGTGAACAGCCAGAGTTCTCCAATGGATGGCTACATTCGTTCCAGCTGCGTCACAACTTCAGTTTCCGCAAATTCAACGCCGAACAGCACCAAGCAGCACAGGACGACCCACGACGCAGCGCTAAGGTGCTATACTGGACCAATATGGAGGCACTGATGGCCGAGACGGACAAATACGAGCCCAAAGACGTCTTTGCAGTGGAAGAAACGCCCGTGCTGTACACGATGCCGCCTGTGCAGAACGCTCTGGAGGAAGGAAGGATGCGCTGCAAGAAGCGCTTCGTGGTGTCTCTTGCAGCCAACGCTGACGGGTCCGAGAAGCTCCAGCCACTGTTTGTGTCTCATCACGAACATCCCAAGTGTTTCCGGAAGAAAACGGCGGAGCAGCATGGCCTCCACTACTTCTGGAACAACAAGGCGTGGATGACGGGCGTCATTTTCTCCCGCTGGCTGCAGCGTCTGGACTTCGCCATGGCCAACCAGAAACGCCGCATCTTGCTCTTTATCAACGACATGCCGTCGCATGTGGTGGCGCATCTGGACCTCAAGAACGTCGTGGTGTTCGTGCTGAGCCCCGCAGTCTCGCAGATGCTCAACCCCATCACGTCGCGTGTGGTCACGACGTTCAAGAAGCGTTTCCGCCGCTACCATCTGCGCCACGCTATTGACAAGTCCGAGACGAACAAGAGCTCCATGTTTGATGTGGATGTGCTACAATCCATGAAGTGGGCGGCGGCCAGTTGGGACGAGATCACGACCGAGACGATTAAGCGCGCCTGGATTCCTACGCAACTGGTGCGTAACCGAGTTATAATGGACGATCACGTGCTCTTACAGGAAGAGGAGGAGGTTCTACTGGACACGGAATTGGAGCACTTGATGCTCTTCCTGCGTCTATCGAACCCTGTGCCTATGATGGAGTATCTGAACGACGAGACCATGTCGGATTACCCTGTGCACGAAGATAAGTTCGACGTCGTGTCCAGTGTCTGCGAAGTGCCGGAGGACGAGGTGGACGAATCAATTGAAGAGAGTCCCGGTCGTACGCTGTCGCTGCAAGAGAAACTCAAGGCGTTCCGAGACGTTCTCCACGTGTTGAAGGACCGAACCGATGCTGACGATACAGCGCTCAACGCTATTCGACGAGTACAGGACGCGATCCGGATGGAAGGCCAGAAGGAAGCGATGGGCGCGTTGGGCTCCAATGGAGACGGAAAGAATGTGTTCGACCTGGACACGGCTGTAGGTGCCGACAATAATAACGCATCTGCTTCAGCGATGACGTCGCTGGATGTTGACAGTCAGCAGCATATGGACGCGTCTTCCCTTCTGGACTCGTCTGAGAGTTCGGCTCTGTCTGCTGCCTCAGCCTCGCTGGCTGAAGGTGCTGGAGACCACACGAGCTCGATGCTGAGTGGAGCGGCCGACGAAGATCGCCAGAACGTCAACGAGAGCTTCCACGCGGTGATCTAGCGCATCTTTTGACGCGGACTCGGTGGGACTAATGGATTCATGTGGTTTATATTGCACCAGACTATGCCGAGTCCAGGAGACAATGCACTTGCCTTCTAACTGCCGTATCTTGTGGAGTTTATGACAGATACTCTCTTATTTTTGCAGTACTAGCATTCTGTACCGCTCTTTCTTCTTCTTGGTCAGATCCATCGCCAGTCCAGAACCGATAGTCTGCAAGATGGACTTGTGTTTCCTCATCTCTCGTGTTGTCTGTTCCCAGCGACGGAATGCCGGGCGAAGCTGTCGCGTCCGAATCGTGTGGATGAAGGTCAGGAAGATAGCTCGGTGTCTCTCGTACACCGTCACTTGGCTCCATTTCTCCACAGCCATCGACAGCGTGCGTCGTAGGAACTTTCGCATCAACCGCTTGGCAGCAGCTTGGACAAGACGTTGCTCCTCTGTGAGCAGATATCGTAAGGCGTAGTCAGCAGCTTCGGCCACGTCGTTGGCTTTCCAGTCCGCGATGACATTCGTCAACGTCTCGACCAGTTGAGTACTGGCGTCCAACTCGTTGCGAGTCTCTTCGCCTACATGGACGGCGTGCATATGGTCCAGATGAGCTTGAGCTGCTACGAGAGACAACTCCAGTTCATGTAGGTGACTCAAGAAATGCACGCGACACTCGCACACGCTGTCGACCAGGCCGAGTGCAGCGATCTCCTCTTCAAGTTGAGGGCGGGTAGACTCATCAAGGCCATAAGCGACGTTGCCGATCGTGATCAACGCCCAGTACAGAATGCGAGACTCCTGACGGTGAGTTAGCAGCGCTCGTTGTAGCAGAGCTAAACCGTTGGCCTCTGCGATCTCCCACTTCATGCTAGCTACGAAGAATATTAACGTGTTAGTCAAGCAGCAAAGTGTGAACGAGACTGGAACTTACCGTTCTCGTACGAAAACACAGCGAGGACGTAGCAGCATTCTCCTACAACCGCAGCCTCATGTCGATATGACTCACTCTCCACGAATACAAGCACCAACTCAACACCCGAACAGGACTCAAACGCCACTTTGGCGGCTCCGTTCTCACTCAGAACAACTCCGATCAACTCCAAACACAACAAGATAACTAGAAGCTCTTGCGCGGAATCTCTCGTCTGGGCTTTTTCGCTGTTAGAACGAAGCACGTTACAAAATACTTGAAAGCGTGGGGCTTCAGTGATGAATCGCTGCGTACGCGTTTGCAGTCGAGTAAGCTTGAGAAAGAGTCGAAGGATGAGCGCGACAGTGGTTTTCTCATTGGGAAACCACGTGATAGACTCAAGAAGCACTTCCAGTCCTTGACATTCCAGTAGCTCCTGCTCGAGTTTTAGCTGGTTGAAAGTCTCAGGTTTGCCTCGATCTCCACGCATTCCGTCCGTTTGAGTTTCCCATTTAACTCGATCAGCCTCTTCGCTCTTTTCAAGTTGTGCGTAGATCCACTGCACACTGCGAAACTGCGTCTGTGGATCTGCTTGCTGCTGTCGCATCCGTTTGATCGCCTCCTTGACACTAGAACAGCGACGTAGTCGCCAAGCTAGAGAAACTTGTTGCAGTGTGATGAACCTTACGACAACGCTCCATCGACCTTTCTTCATCCGATTTACTACCCGACAACGCAAGGAATACATCGTGTCATGCTGAAGATCGCCGATGTAGTGGGCAGTCTTTGATCCACTATAAAATCGGTCGAATGGATCGTGGTGCTTTGCATCCTGAGTATCGTGGCGGCAGATTTCAAGCTCGTAATGCACAGGCAGGCCATGTAAAGGCTGCCAGTCTCTTGGTAGCTGCCAATATACTTGCACACCAGTCGAAGCAATGCACGAGGTCAATATAAACGGCTCCGGGGGTGCTACATCCATCGAGGTGTTAGTAGTACGCTAGATGACCACATTCTGACTAACTAAAGTGATGAACTTACTTACGAGCGTTAGTGCCGTGCTCAAGATTGGTTTAATGTACCAGCATGACAGCGGTGGGGGCTCCTTTGGACCTGAGAACTGTTGAATACCAAGCAGCTTACCCCCTCGTGTGAACACTCCACAGCCAGCTGATCCGGTCTCCGTGACTCGGTCGTATTGTAAGTGCTGCACGTTAATGGAGTTTGGTAAAAGTCTGGCAAGTTGCCGTTGATACAGAACTTGAAGTTTACCGTGTGGATGACCCACGATTTCGAGATGTTCACCCAGCCGGAGACTGTCAGCCTCACCACACCCCAACTTCCGGTTGTTCATCTCGAACCGGAGTGGCCGAATGTTGTCACCAGCTGCAATCAAGAACTGATCTTCGTTCAGAGCACACAATGCGAAGTCGACGTGTGGTTTGTGACCCTTTTTCTTCGGTGACTGTGGCTGTATTGTGGCTCCGTTAAGAGGCTGCAGTCGTGCAGATTCCTCAGGCATCTTGATACCAGCGAAGAACGTGTCGGCAGCGAGTAACAAAGGAAAAGCTACGCGTTCATCGGCGTAATTGCATATTGCCCGGGCTGCTCGAGCCATGCTCTCATCAGCGAGTGTCTTGCCGTCCGTAAGAACACACAAAATACCGCAGAACCTACCGATTATTCCAGAGCCGTACGGGTTCCCCTCGGACGAGATCTTGCAGACAGCCTTGCGAAAGTAAAAGGCCTCGATCTCTAGGTCGTCGTCGTCTTGGATTTCCACGCGTTTGGACAGTGCACCGGCAGTACCGGGCCGTGGACGGAAGAACGGCGGTTTCTGTTCGGACCGCTCGCCATTGCGCGTGTTGAGGTAGTAGAACACGCGATTGTCTGGGTCGAAGAGCTTCATGTAGTTCTCACGCACGAGTTGTCGGATAGTTTTCTTGGCTAGAAAAGCTCGCACAACCCGCTGGATGCGTTGTGCGGCCTCTTTAGGCGACAGATCAACGCGCCCTCGAGCGATGTCACGATCTCCAGGAAGGAAGCGAACGAGAAGCAGCGGCTTCTCCCACGTACTCGCATCGGTGAGTGTGTTGACATAGTAATGCTGCTTGCGGATGGGGTCGTAGTGCTTCTCGTAGACGCTGAGAAGCAAGCGTGCCATGCGTTGACGACTCAAAAAGGCCCGAAATACGTTCTGTAGCACCCGTGCAGCACAGTCTTCTTCATGTGCTCTCCACTCAGCCACTAGCGACGTCTTCGGATCGGACGAACCGTTTGCTCCTGTCTTGCGTCGCTCATTGCCACCACCTCGACCTCCTCGTCTTCCAGCGCCACGCATGATCAACCTGTTGACAAAAAGTGAGTAAACGTCGGCAACGCTTCACGACTGCTTGTGTCGAAAATGGATACGCGAGGAGCAGGCTCAAGAGCAAGTCAATTGTCGGCATCATGCTGTGTCATGTTAGACAGTAGTTTAAGCGGTAACAAGGCGTTGTATCCGGCGCTGGACAGTATCGAGCTGCTTGCGTAGTGAGCGACGACGGCCCTTCTTCTCTCGACCCTGCTCGTTCAACAGCGAGTCTTGGAGCGCCTTGACGCGCATTTCAAGGTCTCCCAGTGATCCGGAGACCAACGGCGAGTGTTCGTCACAGAACACGTCATCGTCGGTCTCTCCACGGGCCTTCGCACTCTCGCGACACGATTCACAGAGCAAAACGTGCATGCGGCAGTAAGCGCACCGGGTGCCCGATAACGTATCGTGCGGCATCTGGCAGCGCTCGCATTGTCCTGTGACCGTCTTGTCCTCGGACGCCATGGTCACGCGCTGGTCGAAGACGAAGTTCTTGCCTTGGAAGAGACCCCCGCCGTCTGGGAAGCGCTCGAGGTAGCGGTGGATACCTCCTTCCAACTGATAGACGTTCTCCAGTCCCAAGTGCTTCAGATAAGCTGAAGCCTTCTCGCACCGGATGCCGCCTGTGCAGTACATGAGCACCTTGTCCTTCTGTTGTAGCATAGGCAACTCGTCTCGAACCCACTGCGGGAACTGTCCGAAGCGACGAGTCTTGGGGTTCAAGGCCCCCGTAAAGTGGCCGACGTTGAACTCGTACGTGTTGCGAACGTCTATGAGAGCGATAGACTCGGGGTCAGAGCTTAATTGCTCGGCCCGGAACTGCTCTGGGGTCAAGTGTTTGCCCCGTAGACTCAAGTCGTAGGCGTCGCCCGGCAGTTCCAGAGCCACGATCTCTGATACGACACGCACTTGTAGCTCAGGGAATGGCTCGACCTGTGACGAGCTGGTCTTCCAGTCCACGTCGGTGAATTGCGGTTGCTGCTTCATTGCGTCGATGTAGTTCTCCACACTGGCGCTAGAACCGCCCAGCGTTCCGTTGATGCCTTCGAGTGCGAGACGCACGCGACCAGTGAGGCCCAGGGAAGAGCACAGTTGTTCATGGGCCTCCGCAACGACTTTCAGCTCTTCTTGCGTCTCACAAAGACGCACGTACTTGTAATAAAGCACCACGACATACGCGCTGTCCTGCCCCATTGTGGCGGTTGACTCCTTGATGCCGATATCGAGATGTGGCCCACGAAACGTGTGGAGCGCACAGAGACGGGTTCAAAGTATCAGATCATGGAGACGACCAAGACCAAGTGGCGACGCGAACGGGTTGAGCTTTATGAGAGGCTAGAGTGCAGCGCCGAGTATGGTTTGGACCGTGAAGCAGTCCTTGCAACCAGGTAATAGCGGTGTGACCAGGGAATTGTGCGTGTTGATGACCATTTTCGTTGTGTAGAGAGCTTTTCGACTTCGATGCATCAGGTCGAGCTATTCCGAAAAAGTTTACATTCCAGAACGAGGACGACGCCGTCAGAGTCGTGTGTGCTGAGATCCCGCAGCTCACCGCGCAGCAATGGGGGAACATCACGCAGGACGTGTTGAATGCTCTGCACGGCACGGCAACAGAAAATGGCGACGTGGTGGAGACGGAGTTGAAGGACGTGTACGTGAGCGACCTGGACATAATGCACGTAACGCTGTTCTACACGTCGCATCCGGACGATTTGGCCCCAAGAAGAGCAGACGAACACAAGTCCGAACGCCTTTCACGCGAGATCTCGTTGCTGCATCAGTTGTCGTCGCAGTTCAAGCCGATATGGCTGGCCCCGGTGAAGGTGGTGCTAGCTTCGTCCGGGGCAATTCTGGTGCTGTTTCAGTGCGTGCAAGGCGATAAGGACCACAAGGTGAGGAACGCTGCAAGCAACGCAGAATTCGGCGTGGACTTGCTGCGCCAAGCAGCACAGAAGACGTTTCCGTTCGTGTCCAAGAAGAGCCCAAAGTTGATCATCCACTCGACACTAGCACGCTTGATATCGCCCGATGCCTTCGATGAGGCTGCGCTGACACGAGTCCGTGAAGCGTGTCAACGGATTTCGCAGCAACTGGTCAATACTGCCATTCCTTTCGTCGTGAACAAGCTCTGGTATGTGGACGAATCGCACTTCATCCGTCCTACAGGACATACAACCACCGTCCCACTGGGTTGTTAGGCAGAATGACACAACAGCAATGGCAACATCACACAAAAGTAAAGAGAGTGTATGTAGAAGTCGACTGGCAAAGTATACATCGGATGGGTACATGTATACGATTCACTTCAGTTTGTGGCACCAAGCAGAAATGAGCTCTTCAGAACAGGAAGCACAGTGGCGTCAGCAGCGCGCCGAGCTGTACGACCAGCTCTACGAGGGCGGCAAGAAGGCAATCAATCGCGAGGGCGTGCGCAAGACTAGGTACGTCTACCGCGATAGACACGTGTGCCCTGTAGCGACCTTAACTTATACTTTTCAATGCAGACAGAACTTCACGCCTGGCCCCACACTTGAGTCCAAGCCGTACGTGTTCCCCACGGAGAATGACGGTGTAGCGCTCATCTGTGCGCCGACCCCCATCGAGATGGCAGAGCGTTGTCATACTATCGGCAAGGAGCTTATGGATCTGCTGCCACGTGAGCCTGAGACCGGCAACGCAGTGGCCTGCGTGACGCGCCGTGAGCTCATGCACGTCACGCTGTTCCACACGTCGCACCCAGGCGACCTGGCTCCGAATGCGAGGCTACGTTTTCCCCAGGATGTGGCACAGCTCAAGACAATGTGTACGCACATCGCGCCGTTCCGAATGGTGCCCGTGAAGGTGCTCATGGCCTCTTCGGGTGCCATCATCATGCTGTTCCAGTGCTTGCCAGCCACCGAGAAGCTCAGCGACGACGTCATCAACGCGCACGCCGAGTTCTCGGTGGACCATATCCGCCGCGTGGCCAAGGAGACCTTCTCATTTGCGCCCAAGACGGACACGCGCGTGATCATCCACGCGACGCTTGGACGCGTATTGTCACCCGACGTTCAAGATGTCGACCTAGATCGCCTGCGCGCTCGATGCGACGAGATCACGGCTGAGCTGGAGACCGACCCACAGCCAGCACTTTTCGACAAGCTCTGGTTCGTGGAGGAGACCCATAATCTATCGCCCCAGGGCCCCAAGACCGATATACCCCTACTCGGCGGCCTGCAGCATCAGTAACGGAGGCTGGGAAACGCGAATAAACCCCAGCATTGGTAAGTATCGAGTACTACATGTAGATCGAGGCTTGCCAAAGGCGGCAGCTCCACCAGCAAGAGCAGAAGATGGCATCCACGATGTACTGAAATGATCGCGCATTTTCGTATCGAACAACACAAAACAAACGCACAGGACTTCGTAGCCATTTTCACCGACCGACCGCATTATTTAAATCGATTCCGACATACTCATGTCAAGGTACTAGCGCCCAGCAATCCGACCGTCCGTAGAAGAGACGGAACTCGCTGGAAGCTCGCTGGTCGCCGTTTCGACAGCCATGCTATCAGCGTGTGGCCAGTGTTGGCAACACTGTGTTGCCTCCTCGCTTGTCTGATGTTGATGGATGGATGGAGCGATGGCGGCGGCGATGGCAGTGCCTAGAGCAGAATTTAGCACTGTCGTTGAGATGAGATTAAAACTTTATGAGTCAAAACGGTACTGTATTATGCATGACGAACTTCGTAACAACCTTGAATTTGTGATTTACGGTTATGGACTGGGCACAATTGGTGCCACGAATGCCGACGAAGACTCGAATTGAACGCTTTCTGCGCTGCCGATGGCATCGCCGGGTCGTTATAAACTAGGGAGCGCCTGGGTCACTGGATGAACGGTGCGTACTTCGAAGTGTGATCTATACAAGGAGCTGCTTCTGCAGCTGGCGTCGGGCGACAACTTGCGCTACGAGCGCCGCGAGGTCTCTCAACTGGGCGGACGCATCAACCACCTGCGCTTCCATGTGCCGTACCGACTTCTTGAGCCCGTCCAGATCGGCGCGGCGTCGTCGCTTGGCGGCTACCAGCGCCTCCTCTTCTTCGACCTCGTCCTCAACCTCGAAGGTGCTGTCGCTCTCGTCGCTTGAGCTCTCGCCCGAAGTAGTGCAGCAGCTCTCACATACACTGCTAAAAACAAAGTCGTACTCTCCCTCAGGTTGCACGACCGCGGTGAACGCGCCATTGCGACGCCGCTTGTGGCTGAATACGCGCGGCTGCAATTGAGACGATACGACGAACGAAGATGACTGAGAGTCCATGGGGCTGTAGTCCATTGCCTGGATGCTAGTAAGGGTGTTGTCTGTTGCTCTCTGGGTCGACGAAACCAAGTGAGCGCTTGAAAGCAGAATGGGAACTGGCGGTCGCCTATCAAGGTTCACTGAGCAGAACTGAGCGAAGTCGCTGGGCTTCCCAGGCGGTTATAAAAAAATGCGCCGGGGCATGGCGGTCGGTCGATTTATGCAACTCAAAGTCACTCGGAGAAAATATGCTTTTCGATTCGCTCGACAGATGGTCGGTCGGTTAATCTGTCACCCGGATTTAGCGACATGGATCGATTAATATTTTAAATTCTGATGCCAGGCAACCTTGAGATAGAGACCAGGGTTTAGGACTGGCCTGTCTGTGTCGGTCGTCTTCCCCGCATCAAACCACTTCGCTTCACTATGGGATCCGCCCGGTCGGAGGCGGGGACTTTGCCTCCGAACATTCGCGGTCGGTCGGTATATGAAAATTTGTATACCTCGAGATTGGCCCGCACGGCGAATTCCACCACCTTCGCCGCGTCTCCAGAGTCTCTGCGAACCTACTAGCGAAACATGCGATTGGCTCGTCAGGGGACTAGGTACGCACAAAGCATGGAGCGAACTTAGTCTCACAAATAAACGACTTCAACTTGTCCGGGCACCCAAGGCATTCTATGCAGCAGCACGTCGACTCGGCGACACGCACCACGGAAACGAAGCCGACACAGTTCGCTGCTGTAACCGATAGCTTTCTCGTTCAGCGTGGAATTCCAAGTGGCCCTCTCTCCGAAAACCAACACCAGCCGCGTGCCGTAACTTTGTGACGGGAAAGCTACAGCAACCTCTTGAGCGTAATCGCCTACGTCCGGTGTGTGTTATAATTGCTTTTATAATTTTCATATAGTTTTAAGTTGCTTCAATATTATTTTAAAATAATTTTCATATTGTATTGAGTTGCTTTATTTCCTCCAACGTGAGAAAAATAGTCCTAATCGATTCGCAGTGTCAACCAAGGCCTTAGGTAGCTTCAATGTTCATTTATAGTGTGTTTTGTATTTAGTCACAAAATATGGTCCAAATTTAGTTTTGTTTTTTCAAATTTGACCAATGCACGAAACCGCCTTACGATTTACTAGTAGTATTTAAAAGATGAAGCTCGGGAGCTTTAAAAGAGTATTCAATAGTCTTGGGCCCCAAGTTGGGGCTCATGGCAGCAGTGGGACCGATCACCCGACCATGGTTGTCAAAGCTTCGCAAACACAAGGCTACTGAAGTTCAATTTTGGGGCCACCAAAACAGAGTTTCATTTTGTGCTTGGAATTAATAAGAACCATAAGTAGGTTGCATGTATTTATTGGAACTGACCTCACCCTTTTTGTATAGTAATGAACACTCAAAGAAACCGTAGTTAAGAACTTGAGAATTCCGTCGCGCTTAGGAATTCTATCTACGGAGTGTGAATCCGTGAATTTTTCGACGTACGGTGCAGCACCATCGTTAAAATCCGCCAGCAGACAAGAACACTGGGCGGGTTTAGATACGGTCAGCGGCTGGATATCCCAGAAGTTCCATTTGACAAGCCAGGTTCGTGTCAACAACGATGCGACCTTGGGATCACAAACGAAGTTCGCTCAACCTCGACAGCAAAATTCACGTCTATAGTGCATTTAAAATTTGGCTCTGAAAGCTCAACCCCCCGCAGTCGCGCTGCTGTGTACGATGGTGATAGCTGCTTTGTGTGGCACGTGATTGGACGGAGAAGCTTCGCGGGGCGACCACGAACGACCAAGAAGGGTATGGTCTCAGATAGATCGGCTTAGATAAGTAAGATATGGCAGCGATATCATATCGCTGCCGTGACAATTGAACGCTCAGATCCAGCAGCGCCGCTGCGCTATTTTGATGTGGTACATGTACCGGTAGTAGTCTTTGGTGGGATGACACCCGCAACGAAAAACATCGAGGACGGCAATCCACATATCACCAAACAAATCGCCCAGAAGGGAAGAACGATTCGACCCAGACTTGCCACGGATGCTATTGAATCGGTCACTGCTACGGTGAATGCCTCTTCTAGAGAGCATATAACTCAAGTCTCGGCTTTGCAGGCTGGGGTTGACAGTCTCTGCGTCATTTGTAGGCAACGATCGATTTAACGGATTTCTCAATTCTCGTAACCGTTGCGTTGATCTTCTTTCGGCTGTTACGATCAGTAACATTAGTAGTTGGAGCGTTTTGCTCGTTCGTGATGTTGAGTTGTTTTCATTTACGTGCGTGAAATGATCGTGCTGCAGTCTAACACGGCGTTACATACATTTTTATTGACAATAATTGGCTCAAAATAATTGCATTGAATCGAATTTAGTGAGCTCTGTTAAACAATTAAAATATTAA